TTTATATATATGGGTGGTAACAAAACAAAAAGGAAAAAAAAAGAAAATTACTCAGCCCCCTCACCTATTGCAGTGTGTATAGGTTGTACCTGTTGATCCTGCTCATAATTTTGTTGTGTAAAATTGATAGAAAATTTAGGCATCACCTTTTCCACCTCTTGAAACTAAAAAGGTAAGAAAAACAAGTAACTATTTTGTTAACTGATATGTTAGTACCCTAGTTGTGAAACCTTGTGCCAGATTAAACTAGCTCTATACTATTTTCCAGGAGGGAAACATTACCTCAGAAAATAACTGGAGATTATTATCTAATTTGAAACTCAAGGAAACTTCTGCTCATAATTTTATTGTGTAAAATTGATAGAAAATTTATAGACAAATTATACAGATGCATGCTGGGATTTCTTCCTAACCAATAAAATGGATCACTTCTCAGTCCCATTCACCATATTTTGTTCTTTCTTGTCTTGAAGTCAGAACATGATAATCACTTGACTGTATCCCTTTTGTGTAGTACCACCATTCTTATTGGTGAACTTTTTACCTTATTACTGTTGCTATGCTTACTTTTGTCTTGCATATATATTGTTTGCTTAGTATTATTTTGACCTGTTCTTTTTCTTTTTTTTCTTAATGCTTATTGGAAACTTTGTCAGTTTCATTTGTTGGGCATTTCTACCAAGCATTTTGCAGATTCACTGTCATAGTAATTAAAATTTGGTTAAATACTTATGAAATATGTTATGCTTAAATTTTTGGTTCCTAGGAATGACCGCAACCTCCCCCCCCAAAAAAAATTTATTGACAAAAACATACTGATGCATGATTTCTTCCTAGCCACTTCTTGATGTCATCTGCTTTATACTTTTTTCTCTTGTCTTGAAGTCAGACCGCTGTGAATAGTTGTCTGTATCCCTTTTGTGTGTTAATGCCATTCTTAATTTGTGAACTTTTTACATTATTACTATTACTTTTCTGACTTTTGCCTTGTATAAATATATATATATATATATATATATATATATATATTTATATATATATATATATATATATACACACACACTAATTGCCATATTTATGACATTTCATCCTTTGTATGCCTCGGCCTTCTTCAGGAGATATGTGTTGGAATTTCGATCTGAACCCTCTATTTAGTCCATGGGGTAGATTGTTCTAATTCCATGTGCCATGACTTTTTTGGGATATCTCAGTCTCCATTAATTCCCTTTAGTAGCTAAACACCCCAAGTTTTTGTTTCCTCTGCTGTGGCCAGGTATTGAACTCTCAACTCTTTGGGTCAGTTCAAGTTCTGGATTACCTCAACCAACACCTTTATCCATTGGGTCATGTGTCTTGGTATATAGAAAATGTTGAAGTTTACATGTTTTTTGTTTTTTATTATTTCACAAACAAGGCAACAAAGCCACTAAAGTGCAGAAATTTACTGAGAGTGAAAGAATATAAGAAAAAGGAAAACATTATTAAAGAGAGAAAACAATAAAAGAACAGGAATTAAGAAGACAGAAGATAACGATTGGCATTGCATTTAAATTTTTGAAGATCAAACTTGACTGGGAAGCAAGAAGCTGGTAGAGAGTTCCACAAGTGAGAAGTGTGAGAGAAGAAACTGTTTGCATAGAAGTTATGGTTGCATCTAGCCATTTCACCTGTAAAATGCTAAGTTGTTGCCATCAATCTAGTACTGTGCTTAAATTGAGCCAAGGTGCCATAGAGAAATGCTCATCAGAACAATTACCATGAAAGTATTTATAGAAAAAGTACTGCAAGCTACATTATGGTGGTTGGTAAGTGATTGAAGCTGAGATGCCAGGTAATGACCAATAACATTGCAGATTCTTTGGATCTTATTAAGGATCTCTAAATATATAGCAGGAGTTTGCAATACTCTATTTTAACTTGTCCTCCTCTAAACCTGAGTTGAAATGAAAGCAAAAACTTTAATAATTATAATAATAAGGGCCAGAGATGAAGTAAGTTTAGTATCTACTTTCTAAAACCAGTATTTAACCACACAACATTGTACTGTTAGTTTCTGAGACAGAGCATTGTTATATGTTATTATTATTATTAAAATAATAGACAAGGACAATTTCTTTTCTGAAGAGTTTTCTCTTTTAAATTCTTCAGATTTTTCAGGATTATGCTGCATTTAATGATGTAAGTGTAAGTGTTCTGAAAGCAAAGGAAGTATTTGTCGCAGATTACTTCCACAACACAAAGAAAAATCACCGTAAGTACAGACTCGAATATCGGGGGCAGAAAGAAATGCTGAAAACTCGATTCGCCGGTACTATCTCGAATCCCAATGCATGTAACCAGTCAGGAAAAATAACTCACTCTCTAACAAACGCCGAAGCCAAAAATGCCTGAATTTCCCTCCTCCGAATCGAGAACACCAACTGCTTTTATCGGCAGAACCCATTTTTTTCATTCGTCGACAGCTGGGATAGAATGCTCCATAATTTGCATATCAAACTACTCTTATAGCGGCTCCTGCGACGGACTTGTTTCTTTTTTCGTCACAGAATACACGTGACGCGCTGTCGCTTGGTTTGACGAGGTAAGTCGCCATTTTCTTCGCTATAAGATTTTTGCTGACTACTTTTTGGTACTCCTTCTTCGGCAGATCACACACAAAATACGAACTTTTTTCCAGGGTACCTGATTATCTCTTTCACTACAAACGAATATAAATTTGTTAATGTGCAAACCATTCCTTAACTCTAAGCATCACTTGTCTTAAATTTGTTCTTTTTTTGCCTTCCATCAGCATGGCTGATGCTAACTGCCAGAAGAGCAATTCTCTGCATTGCCGTGGGTGCATGTTTTCCACTGACATGAAGTGGAGTGATTATATTGAGTCAATTGCTAGGTTTGCTACCAGGAAAGTTGCTTCCCTGTGTCATACAAGACAATTTTTTGTGCCAAAATCCATCTTGTACATTTGTATATCTACCATTCATCCATAGTTAAATGAAACCATAACTTCTACTCCAACAGCTTCTTTTCTTGCACTTCCTGCCTGTGGAACTCTTTTCTGTTTACTTGCTTCCCTGATAGCTACAATCTTCAAAAATTTAAATGCAACATCAATCACCATCTTCTGATGTCTTGAACCCCATTGATCTTCTATCTTTTTTTCGTTCCCCCTTTACGCAGTCTTTTCTCTCATCTTCACTCTATGTAACACCCCTGTGAACCAGTGGTACTTCCACCTTGTTTGGTGTGAAATGATTAAAAAAAAAATTCATTGAATATCGCTGCCATATCTGGTCTGCTACTGATACTGCATATTCTCAACACAATTCAAAGAAAGGTCTGTAATATTATTGGTTCTGACCTGGCATCTCAGCTTCAGTCAGTTTCCTACTACTGTGACATGGCTTCCCTCCATCTTTTCTATAAATATTTTCATGGCAGTTGTTCTAGTCTGCACTAGATTGGCAAGTCTCATTATTTTACTGTTGAAATAGCTAGATGTAACTATGTTGCATAGCACCCCCCCCATGCTGGGAGGTTGTGGATGATGGTGTCAATTCTATAATAAAGTTGCATTCTTCTCTCATGGACAGTAATCGTTAGTTGTTTTTAGTCCAGAAATAAAATAGCTTCAACACGGGGAATTTTAACTTATTGTGTTTTGTTATTCACATCGATGTGTACATTTTCTAACTATTCAGTAGGGTTGTTCATCCTCAATGGGGAGCTGTTTCAGACATGAAAGAGAACATGTCTACATTTGCTTGATGTGTAACAACCAACCCTCTGAAAAACCTTTCTCCTATCTATCAATCCCATACTGGCTCAGCCAATCAAAATTGACTTCCTTATTTTGGCTTGCATCTGACCTCAAAGGTCAACCTCTGGAAATCACAGCTGAGATACAATTCCCCTTAAAAATAAAAGTCTGCTAAACTATTATTAAACATATATATATATATATATATATATATATATACCAACAAACAATATATATAAAAGCTTTGAACAGTATATTTTACAGACCCCCCACACTTATATATGTGCAAACACAGAAAATATTATTCATTGAAAGAATAGAAAAATGCTCTGTTTGCTACACTTCCGATCTTTGAATTTCAGCATACAAATGCGTGTATATATATATATATATATATATATATATATATATATATATATATATATATATACCATTCCGATCTTCGTTGGTCAATATATATATATATATATATATATACACCAACAAACAATATGTATAAAAAGATGGACAGTACATTTTACCTATAGTTGAAGGCATACAGTTGCATTCACAAGTTGAATCCAAAAAATTATTCTGAAATATTTAGATTTTAGCATTTTGTAAAATACATCTAATGCTTTGGTACCACATCATCAGTGATGTTTCTAGCTGAGGTTCATTAGGGGTCTCGGATCTTTCAACATCATACCCCCTCTTTGCTTTGACCCAGCCGATACTGATCAGGTATCGACTTGTGTCTCTTTCATTAGCTACAGTTTTTCTCATCTCTGTAACTCCATACTGCAACTCCCCTTTGCCAGTTATAGCCCACTTCCAGATAACTTCCAGCTCACCAGCAATGTTAGCTCTTCCATAAAAAAGGAGCAAACGTACACACAATTTTTATCTGGGCAGAAACATGGTGGCATGCTCAGAACCCATAGAGATGTTGATATGCCACTAAACAAAAAATCAACCAACTAACATCAGTTGTTATGTTTGGTTTTCCTGAAATCTGTTCTTTTATTGTTCTTTCTTCTCACTAAAGTCTTATTCTCTTTCACACCGAGTAGCCATATCTTAGTGACATTATCACCTTGCCTGGGGTGAAATGATTTAAAAAAAAAAAAAAAATGTTACTGTTTTCCTCAAGACTTCCTTATTGTTCGTATGTTCCGTCCATGTTTTCTATAAATTCTCTAAAATATCTAATAGTGGAATAGATATTATTTGATCAGTTGTAAATGTGTTTGCATTTCAGTTGCTCTCTATTGGGAACCAGCTGGTAATCTGATGTGCATGTTCCAAGGGCATCAAGGAGGAGTAACTCACATTCTCTTTTCTCCTGATGGCAACAGGATTTACAGTGGAGGACGGAAAGTAAGTTTAATAAATCCTTTTTCCCCCCCTATTTCCATCTTTTATTTTCTAAACATTTTCATATTAAAAAAAAAAGGTAAAAAGATCTTTACTACTCATGCGTAATACACGCCTAGGCAATCATTTATCTTTCAATACATGACTGACAAGGCAGATTTTTTCCTGCAGTAGGTTGCCATTTCTTTCTGTGGTAAACTAGTTGCCATCCAAGGCTACAGAACCCGGTCTATCCTGCTATTTACTCATAGCTGGGGTAGAAGAAGAGGATCCATATCTTTCCTAGGGGTATTAACACATAAGTGAATGTAATGGATCCAACTGGAATTTGAACACGGATCTCCGATTCCTCAATCCAAGCTACTATCCATTACTCCACCATACTTCCTCCTACTTTACTACTATTTCAACATAATTTACACTCAGACTGTTGTCCTCATTTTTGTTGTTATCATCACAACGTTTCGACCATTGTGCCTCCCCAACCTTCATCAGATACTTGTCGATCTGTGTCACCTACAAAAGATTTCCAGTTGAACCCTTTATTTAATCTACAGGAGTAGACTGTTCTTATACCACTGCCCATGTTTAGGGATATCACGTCTAGTTCTTATTTATTACTGCTTAAGTTATTGCTTAACTCATTTTTTTTAATACTACCGTTCACCTAATACAAGGCCCAGGAGCTACTCAAGTTAGAGGATTATTGTGTGAAGTTGTGTGAACATAAGAAAAGGCAAGAAGTGAAGTTCAGGATGTTATGCAGGAAAAATAGCAGTTAAACCTCGACTTGAAAAGGTCAAGATTGTAGTGATTGCAGAAAACATCCTGCCAGGTGTCTGTTCTATAAAGCAGCAGGTGTTGGGAAGAACCTGTCGAAGGGGAACTTACAAGTAGAATACGAAGGGAATGAGAATGATTCATCTTTCCATACGTGGCATGGCGGTTCCTAGTTGCAAAGGTCAAGGCTGGTGGGACCAAGGAACACTTGTCATGGAAAAAGCAATAGAGTAGCAAGATGCATATGATGTTTTGTCTGTGGGAGAGGGATTGCAGGTTTAAAAAAAGTTCATCACTCACAAGGCCGTGCAGACATTTTTAAACTCGACAAGTGAGGACTAGGCAGCTCCAGCTCAGATATGGCAGCAATTTGCCATTTTTATTCTAATTTGGCTCTTGTAAAGGGAGAGCATACCAGGAGGAGTCCAATACCTGCTAGAGCTGTACAATAAACTGATCATTTTTTTCAGCATAGTCTAAGTCTGCACTACCTGGCACAGGTATTGAACTCTCAATTACTATGTTATCAAATTCATGAACCGATACTTTATTCCAGTACGTTATTGTTCCATGTCCTGACCATTCTGGGTAAGATGATAAACTACGTCCAACAGCAAGGCCTCTGATCAGGAGGTTTTGAGGAGCATGGAACCACCTCTTAATTGCTGGTGTTCCCAGGTCCACCCTGGCCTGAGGTCGTAGCACCTGTTAGGGTCCCAGCTATGGGCAAATAGTAAACCCCCAAACTGGGGCCAAAATGTGTAAAAATAGGTTTTAATACCAACAAAATATTTTTGTAAAATTTATTACCAGCAATAAATTTTTGAAGGAAAATTATTACCAGCAATACATTTTTGGAAAAAAATATTACGAAAAATACTTTTTGAAAAAAAATATTACCAGCAATAAAAATCTTGCTGGAATAAAATAATCCTTTAAGGGTCATATGCCCTAAAACCAAACCAAACCTACTTCCATCTCAGTTCTCAAACGAATGTCTAAGATGAACAGAAGCTAACTTTTGTTTAACAACTGCTGCCTAGGAAGACTAGGCTAATGGGAAAACCTCCTCCACTGGCAGGGAGTTCTAGGGAAACAAGTCCCTTAAACCTCTTCCTTGCAATACATTTTTGAAGGAAAAAAAAATATTACCAGTAATACATATTTGAAGGAAAAAGTATTACCAGCAATAAAAATCTTACCAGTCTTAAATAACCCATTGAGGTTGATAATGCTGTAAAACAAACCAAACCAAACCCATGTCCTGATGAAGGCTGGGGCTTATGTCCACGTCATGTTGAAACACCAGTTCCCCTGTATGATCACTGGTTAAGCAGTATTGAACTTGGTTAGTACCTAAATGGATGACCACTTGGGAATACCATGTGCTGTAAGCTTGGATGTGTGGGTGGATAATGGCTTGGAATTGTTAATCGGAGATCTAAGTTTCAATTCCGGTTGGTGTTGTTATATTCACTTATGCAGAAATAGCCTTGAGAAAGATATCAATTCACTCCTTCTTCTCCCAGCTGTAGGTTAATTAGAAAGACTTTTATCGCTAGATCATTATCTTCAGAAAAAAGGTATTCTTTCAATCTAAAAATATCTCTGGCTTTAACCTTTACCATGCTGGAGGTAAAAATTGTTGCTGCAGAATTCTCTCCCTTTGCTGCTCTAGGCACATTCTGTCACCTTGAGATGGTTGCTGTGAATAAACACTTGTCAATGGTTATTTCCGGTATTTTAAGGTGGAAATCACCTGCTACTACTTTGAAATGAAGCTAAACTTCTGTTTTCTGACACCATTTTAAATTCTTTTAGATTCTACACAAGGTGTAATATCAATTAAACCTTTGATTTTTTTTGTAATCAGAAATGGCTGCATCAACATTCAATGAAGCTTTTATTCAAGAGTTTTTCTTTGATTTGGATTCTGATGGTGATTTTGAAGGCTTTACTCAAGTGGATATTGATGGTGTTGTGGTTGAAAATCTACGCTAGCAAAGTGGAGTAAAGCGATGATGATCACTAGTGGCTATTATCAGTTTATGGCTGACTAATTTTATGGAAGCTACTGGTGACCATCAATGTACCTCATAGCCTTTCTGAAGGTGAATTATTTTGTCTATTTATAAACGACAAAAGAATAACTTTATTTGTGAGCAGGACAAATAAATATGGTAGTCAGGTGAAAAAAAGACCAAAGAAATGCTGGTGTTTTCTCGTATGTAAACACAAGGTTGCATATCACTTTTTTGATGAAATGAAAGCCTTCTTAGTCATTTTGCTTCTTATTGCATCCAAGAAATCCACAAGGAGTAATAAAAGTTAAAGTATATTAAATAATTAATGTAATTTTTTGTTTTTTATTTTGTGTTGCAATTGTTTTTTGTTTTCAATGTCAAAACATTCAAGCAAAACTTAATTCATTACATCAAAATATTACTCATCCATCCTTTTATTATACAAAAAATAAAATCTATACACACAATACAAAGAAAGTTATAACAATTTTAAAACAGTAGATGTTCATGTTTTTTGAACCCTCAAAAAAAATGCAGTGGCAGGGGAGACAACTCTAAAAAGAAATTAGCGTAGTAAAGGTTAAATAACACACAAAGGTTGATAAGCAGTAGAATGGAAGCTGGAGGGGCAGAATGGGTGAAATGTTGGGATGATAACAAATTAAAATGAAGATAATGGTTCAAGTTTAAATAATGTAAATAAAAACATTCTCATCCTAGAAATTCAGACAGAAATTACTTCATATTTATTCCATTTTTCTTTTTTGTAAACACTTGGCTTTTAATATCAACCATCTGCTATTTTTGATCTTTTGAGGTTAGCTAAGTTTATAACAAATCATTAAAAATAATGAACTGAGATTGATTTTCAGAATTTTCCCTACAAATTAAAACCTACATACCTATATAATACTAAAAATCTGATTTTGTATGTCCGTTTGCAAACGATGAGGAGCAAAAATTTTGTTGCACTTTCTTGGGCTAACGTTCTCAGCTGACATGAAGTGGAAAGACTATATTGAATTCATTGATAGGTCAGCTGTTTAGAAAGTTGGTTCACTGTCTTGTGCAAGACAATTTTTCTCTCCAGAATCTATCTTACATAAGTCCGTGCTTAGAATATGGTCTGGTGCCCCTGCTATTTACCATAAGGTCCTTGATAAAATTCAAAGAAGAAACAGCAATATTGTTGGTCCTGATATGGCAGCTCAGCTTCAGTCACTTTCCCACTGTTCTAAGGTTGCCGCTCTCTGTCTTTTCTATAAATACTTTCATGGTAGCTCACCTAGACTTTTTGAATTCAAGCGCAGTACTAGATTGACAACAAGGTCTTACCAATTTATAGTTGAACTAGCTAGATCTAGCTGTAAGTTCTATGCTAACAGTTTCTTTTCTCACACTTCTCGCTTGTGGAACTCCCAGCTCCATGCTTTCTAGCCAACTTTAATTTGCAAAAATTTAAATGCAATGTCAATCGTTATCCCCTGGCCTCCTGATTACTCTTTTCTCTTCCCATTCATTATTAATGCATCGGTTCCTAATTCTTCCATATCTTGTAACCCCCCTTAGTCTTAGTGGCTTTACTACCTTGCATGAAGCGAAACTGATAAAAAAAATAACTGTATTGTTGCCAGAAGTAATGAATTAAGATAACCATAAAATGCATAAAATTAACCAATGCAAAAAAACAAAAAAAATAATATACGTGATTAGCAACTAAATGATAATATTGTGGGGTCTGCACTTGCAATGGACCAGTAAAAAAAAATCCAAGGGAATGAAATGCTTGTTTATGTCTCTCTCCCTCCCTCTCTCTCTCTCTCTTTTTTATTTTTTTAATGTTCTGTCCCTTCAGTACATCATAGACAAGTTTTGGGAATTGTCATGACTTCTTGGGAAAGATAGTAGAGTAGTTTCTGATTTCCTCCTCCCTTGTTTTGAATTTAGAGTTGTCCTTCTCCTAAACTGGTTGCCACTCAAAGCTAAAGAGCCCAGTTTACCCTCTTAATTCATCCCTAGCTGGTTGGAGAAGAAATGGAACCTTGTCTTTTAAAGGGCACAAAAGATGAAGCCTGAACCTATTTCGATATGAATGCAAAAATCTGGATGAAAAACAATAAATATCTCCATTTCAGCACATTGCAATCAAGAAGTAGTGTAATCTCTGAGAGTGAAAAGTAGCCAACAGGTCACTAGTAT